ACCACACACACACACACACACACACACACACACACACACACACACTAACACACACACACACACACACACACACACACAAATATACACACCTGGTTGCTGTTGACGCGGGTGAGCGACTTCATTGCCTCGACAGTCGACATGATTGGTGGTTGATGTGGGATCGCTGTGGTTGGATGGGTGTTCGATCAATTGAACAATCAACTCGTTGATGTTGTGGCTTTGCTGTTCACGTCTTTCTCGCTGGTCCGCAGCACCGTTTTATCGCCTTCAATGGAGCAATACAAAGAAAAGCGGAGCAAGTGTTACCAAGCAGCACGAGCAGCAGCAGCAGTGCCCAAGCAGCAGACTCGCTCCCTTGTGCGTTCCTCCACCCCCAAACCTTCACGCCACAACAAGCACAGCACGTTGTCACCTTGTTCCCTGTTGCCAACAACATTCCAAAATGCGCGCTGCTGGTTTTTCGTCCTGCCGGATTCGATGCACCGAATTGCACCGATGTAATTGTGTTACACAACAGCATAAAGCGTAGCAAATGACCGTTGTTGGTAAATTTTTCTTTCCCAGGTTGTTGTGTTGGGCAAAAGCCAACAACCGCAACTGTCCAAAAGACACACACACACACACACACACACACGCACGCACGAGAAGATGGAGCACTCTGTGGTGCTGCAGGTGATGAACACGGGCTCAAACGAGCTCATACCGTACCGCATCGACTACGAGGTCGGCAAGGAAGAGGGAAAATGTGCCATGAAGGAGTTGTGGAGCGGTGTCACTGCGTCTGTGCGCTCTTTCTGTTGTGGGGCAATAGCGTGTCTCGCTGTTGGTGTCTCGCCGCTGGTGTCTCGCTGTTGGTGTCTCGCCGTTGGTGTCTCGCCGTTGGTGTCTTGATGGTTGTGTCTCTTCCCCAACACAACAAACCCCCCCCCCCCCCCACACACACACACACACACACACAACTCACACCTCACGTGTCTGACAATTCAATGTGCATGTGTGCGTGTGTGCTTGTGCGCGTGCGTGCGTTTTGGGCAACCAGGGCTTTGTGTCGTCGCTGAAACGCGGCGGGTACTGGAAGCCATATGCGTTTGTGCTGGATGGCGGCGGAGGCGTTGTGGTGGACCTGACGGCGGAAACATGGCCCACGTTCTCTGCACAGCACGTTGCATCGCAAGGTGCACGCCTTATGGTGCTGAAGCCGCACCCGAAGAAGAAGTTCTCGTCCTCGGAAGGCAACGCGCTGGACATCAGCGACGCCGTCATCGACTTTGTCAGCACAGCAACGACCGAGAGCGAGCGATCGCTGCGCATGCAGCGTGCGCTTGAAGTGGGGTGCATGACACCACCTCTGCTGTCCCTCAAAGCGCCGCCCATGGTGATCAACGGCAGGTTTGGCGTGACCATGCTGCAGACGCCACCGCCGCTACCCGCCAACCCCACCAACGAGCAGAAAGAGGAGCGGCAGCAGGAGCAACAGGAGAGACAGCAGCGACTGCTGCAAGTGCTTGTTGGCGGCGAGCTTGCTGCAATTCAGGTGCAGGCTGTGGTGGAGGAGGCATTCGCATGCGAGCATCTTCGCAAGACGCTGCTGATGATTCGCAACCGCGTGGCCGTTATCCCGCTCTCCACCTTCCCGTTTTGGCAAGTGGCCATGGCACGCGAGGCGCACGTGCGCCTGCCGCTGCAGCTCGCCTACACGGGTGCACATGCTGTTGCCGTGCGCATTGCGTGTGTTCAACGTCTGGGCGCTGTTGCCGCCATTCTTTACAACGACCTCGACCTCTCCTCGTCGTGCTTCTTTGCCACGCTCACGCAGTCGCTGGCACACTGTCCGCTGTACACGGAGATTGCGATTCCTGTGGGCGTGTGCCCGCGCAACCTCTCTGCGCTCTTTCCCATGACGACGGGCGCTGGGTATATGTTCACCACGCTCACATTCTCACTTGACAACACGCCGACACCGCCACCGCCACAGAAGCAGCGGCAACAACAACAACAGAAGCAACAACAGCAGAAGCAACAACAGCAGAAGCAACGGCAGGGCCAACACAGAGAGGGTGCTGTGCAAGCGGAACAGCAGCAACAGCAACAGCAAGTGGAACAGCAGGGGCAACAACAAGCAGGGCAACAGGGGCGACAACACGAGGAACAGCAACAAGGTCAGCAGCAACAGCAAGAGCAGGATCAGCAACAGTATGCGGGCTCATCATCGCGTGTGCCGACTGCTGCCACTTCTTCTGCTGCCGGTGATGTTGCAAACGGCAACAACAACAACAACAACAACAACAACAACAACAACAACAACAACAACAACAGCAACAACAACAACAACAACAACAACATGACCATTTCTGACACCAGTACCAATGCCAGTGGCAGTGGCAATGGCAGTGCACCACCACCACCACCATCGTCGTCATCGTCATCAACATGCCACCGCCACGACGACCACACAGGTGGACAACAGGAACAACATCAACAACAGCAGCATGAACAACAACAGCAACAACAACAACAACAACAACAACAACAACAACAACAACAACAACAACAACAACAACAACAGCACCAGCCGCAAGGTGAGGGTGAGAAGGAAATGATGACACACCATCCATATGCGTCATCAACAACACCAGCAGTGACGTCAGCAGCAGCAACAACGACGACGGCAACAGCACTGCCAACAGCCACCATCGCAGCAGCAACATCTGGTGCACCCCCTTCCAGCCTCCCCACGAGCATGAACCTGTGTGCGAACACCAGCACCAGCAGCGAGCCGCTGTCACCGCTTGTGTCGTTGCCTCAAACCACACACCACCATCACCACCAGCATCACCAACACCAACACCACTATCCACAGCAAACGCAGCAGCAGTTGCAACACGCGCAGCACCAGCAGCCATACCACCACCACGGGACAACGGGCGGGACACTGCCGTCGTCGTCGTTGTCATCGTCGTCATCATCGCATGTGCATGCGCCCACATCATCATCATCATCATCATCATCATCATCATCATCATCATCGACAACGGCAGCGGCACCAGCAGTGCCACCACCGCCACCAACAACATCGACGCCATCACTTTCGCGTCATGACGACGTGCATGCACAGCCGCTGATTGCATCTGTGCCCCGTGCTGCGGCAGCAGTGGGAGCAGTGGGCGCAATGGTGCCGGCCGCACATGGTGGCGAGGGAACACAGGCGCCCCACCCGCCATCCGCATCAACAGCAACAGCATCGTCAACACCAAGCACGCCAGCTACAGCTACAGCAACACCAGCAGCTACAGCAGCAGAGACGCAACCTCTTGTGACATCAGTGGCGTTATCGTCGACATCAACAGGTGCCAGCGTGGCTCCGGCCTCTGCTGAGGCGCACAGCCCAACCAGTGATAGCGCTACTGCTGGCACACACCCAACCATGCAACAGCAGCAGCAGCAGCAACAACAACAACAACAACAACAACAACAACAACAACAACAACAACAACAACAACAACAACAACAACAACAACAACAGCAACAACAACAACAACGTTCGTCAGCGAAGCGAACGGCATCCGAGGCGGGAGCGTCGAGCCGTGATCATGATCATGACGATGACGATGACAATAACGACAATGACGATGGCGGTGACGTGCATGCGCGCAAGGTGCGACCAACAGACACATCCCCTCAGACACCAAGACTCGCAACACCGACGAGCGCCAGGCCAGGTGCAACAGCAGCGCCGGCAGTGTCATCACCATCAGAAGAAGCATCATCATCATCGACAGAAGCAACAGCCACAACAGCACCGCCAACCAGCGCAGCATCTGCCACGCCCACAACCCCACATGCCACTCAGCCCACGTCGTCATCGACGCCAGCAACAGCAGCAGCAACAGCAACACCATCAACACCATCATCGTCATCATCCTTGGCATCGGGGAAGAAGTCAAAGGGGCGACCGCGGTGGGATGCGTCGACGCTGCGGCAGCACCTGACCGCCCTCGGCTTCACCGTGCACTCGGTCACATACCAGCGGCGATCGGGCAGGAACAGGCCCCTCATCATGTGAGCAGCTGCTGCAGTGTTGTTGTTGTTGTTGTTGTTGTTGTTGTTGTTGTTGTTGTTTAAGTTGATTAAGTTGTTGTTGTTTAAGTTGTTGTTGTTTAAGTTGTTGTTGTTTAAGTTGTTGTTGTTGTTGTTGTCGTCGTCGTCGTCGTCGTCGTCGTCGTCGTCGTCGTCGTCGTTGTTGTTGTTGTTGTTGTTGTTGTTGTTGTTGTTGTTGTTGTTGTTGTTGTTGTTGTTGTTGTTGTATTAGTTTTGTACAATTGTGTGTGTGTGTGTGTGTGTGCGTGTGTGCGGAACGTGCCTTGAACTGCGTGCATGCGATTATGGTGCGGTTGAAGTCGTAGTCATGGTGTTTTGCAAACACACATGTGCATCCCAGCTGCCATCACCCCACCACGAACACACCACCCTCCACGATCAACACCACGCTCACCATGATCAACATCGTGTTTACCAACCTCGCAACGTCACCAGGGCGACGTGCAATGGGTGCCACGTTGGGATGCGCTTCCTTGACGTGCACCGGGCGCAGAAACACATCGAAACGTGCATGAGCAAGCTCACGGCAGGGTCCGTGTTTGCAACACCTCACACATCGACCGCCCCATCCACCGCAACCACTCCCCTCAGACACCAGCATCACCAGCATCAGCATCATCAGCGCCAGCATCATCAGCAGCACCAGCAGCAGCAGGCACACGGAGCTGTTGTTGACCGAGACCGCGGTGTGCTTCACACGCACCATCATCACCATCACCATCATCACCATGAGCAGCAGCAGCAGCAGCAGCAGCAGCAGCAGCAGCAGCAGCAGCAGCAGCCTGCGACTTTGTTTGTGCCAGCAACAGCACCCATGGCGGTGGGCCACACGGGCGCACCTGACGCTGCCATGCCATCAACCACGCTGCCTGCTTCCAGCGGCGGTGTTGGTGGTGCTCTTGGTGGTTCGCATGGGTTGCACCCGGGTGTTGCGCCCGCCACACCTGCTGGGCAGCACGGCGGCAATTACGCAACCACAGGCGGCACCAATGGCCACGGCGTGGGGTTTGGTGGTCGCCTTGACGCAAGCAGCTTCACCCCGACAGAGCTACCTCCGTTTGCGCTCAAGCTGACATCGCTGACCCGAGCGCCACACCTAACTGAAGCGTGGACTTTTGCACAGGTGGTGGCGTTTGTTGACGCGCTCTTCTCCGCGCACGCGCCCGTGACGGCCGATGCCATTGTGGCGTATGTCAACGCATATCCCCATCACAGCGTCGTCAGCACCAGCACCAGCAATACCAGCAACAGCAGCGGTGGCAATGTTGGGACAACAGCAACCATGCCGGTTGGCTAGCGCGCACGCACCCTGTGTGTGCGTGCGTGTTTGTGTTTGTTTGTGTGTGCCTCTTGTTCGCTGTCTCTTCATCATCCCAGCCACCTGCACACCTCACGCACCTCACGCACCTCACCCACTCATTGTCACCTCGCACACCTCGCATCAAAACTGTTGGCGGGAGAGTGAGCGCGTCATCGTTCGTCATCATTGCGCAATTGTTTCCTCCACACGTCCAAATCTTTTAAAACATTCGCAAATGTTCTTCACCCGCCCACTACGGTGCCCCGAATGGCCTTCGCGCAACGTATCGATGACACCGTTTTTCAACTATATCTTTACCCACATTTCTTCAAGTTGGGCTTGAGTAAGGACACGGCCTGCATCTTGTCCCGTTTGCGATAGAACAAGCGGCCATTCTTTGCATGCACTCTCGGTGTGGTGGCAGAGGTGTTTTGCTTGCTTGCCTTCTTGCCTTCTCTTCGTGCCAGCCGTGCTTGTTGTGCTTGTGGTGTGTGCTCCTCCAACCGCCCAAACGAACCAGCAACACGCGCCAACCACGAGCATGTGCTTGCCGTTGTTTGGGTGACATGAATGCAGCCATCTCGTGCTTCTTGCTTGCTTGCCATTCTCTTTTCCTGCCTCACCTTGTTACTTCACATCACCTTTTGTCTGCACCATCCGTCGTCATTTCATCGTCGTCCTCCAGACCAAGCCAAAAGGATAAGCTAGAGACAGTTCCCCAGTGACTCGTTGCTGTTGACAGACCAACACCCACACACACACACACACACACGCACACACGACTCGCAAACAACGATGGCAACCAAGGATACCTCAACCCCACCCTCGGTCCAGGAGGTGTGGCGTGTGTATGTCGTGCTTGTTGTGGCGTCAATGTGATGTTGCAATCGATGCATGCGCGCGCGTGTTTTCGTGTGCATGTGTGCGTGTGTGGGTGTGTTTGCACGCGCTGCAGCTTGTGTTGCTTCTTCACCACGTATCTGTTGCTGACGTCCTCCCGTCTCACCCTTTGCACTGCTCCACACAAACACACCCACACACACACACACACACACACACACACACACACACACACACACACACACACACACACACACACACACACACACACACACACACGCTGTTTGTTTGCATCACGACAGGTGCTTGCCAAGGCAGGCAAGCGCGCTCTTGGCGGCGGTGGCGCCGGCGCTGCAGCCATGGTGCGTGGTTTTGTGTTGCATCGTCTTTGCCATGCCATGCTGGTTGGCCAATCAACTTCAACTTCTCACTCGTCACCGCTACTCTCCCTTTTGGCTTCGTTCGGTGTCTCCACCATGCACGCACGCAAATTGCAGGTCACTCAAGTGTGCACCCTCATGTGGCTGCGCACCACAATGAACTACCAGTACGTATCGTGGTAGATTGAGGTGCTTGGTTGGCAAGTTGTGTGTGTGTGTGTGTGTGCGTGTGTGTGTGTGTGTTGCAGGTTTGCTTTTTCTCACCCTGAGAACACGGTACATGACAACAACAGGTACCGCTATGGCACCAGCACCCCCGCTGCCATCAAGGCGCTTTACAAGCAGGTGCGGGGCGCGAAACGCAAGTGCCTTTGTTGTGCTGTGTGTGTGTGTGTGTGTGTGTGTGTGTGTGTGTGTGTGTGTGTGTGTGTGTGTTGCGATTGCTTTTTTCAGCCGTCCACAAATCCTTTGTTCTGATGTTCCCCTCCTTACACCACACACACACACACACACACACATATGCACACACAGGGTGGCGTGCTGCGCTTCTACCGGGGCATTGGGCCAGCGCTGCTGCAGGGACCGCTGTCGCGATTTGGCGACACGGCGGCCAACACGGGCATCCTCACGCTGCTCGACTCGTACGAGAGCACGCGCTCGCTCCCCGTTGCCGTGAAGACGGTGGCTGCATCTGGCACTGCCGCCCTTTGGCGCGTCGTCCTCATGCCCATCGACACGCTCAAGACCGTCATGCAGGTGCGCCTGTGATGATTTGTGTGTGTGTATGATTTGTGAGCGTGTATGTATGTGTGTGTGTATGTTTGTGTATGTGTTTGTGTATGTGTTTGCATTCATGATTTCCCAGTGGATGTGAGCGCATGCTTTATCACACACACACGCACACGCTCCATCTCTGTCTCTGTCTCTGTCTCTGTTTCTGTCTTTCTCTCTCTGTCTCTGTCTCTGTCTCTGTCCTTGTTTCTTTCTCTCTTCCCCTTGTGCAACGCTCGAATGCGTGGCAACTCAACCAACTGCCCTCCCTACCAACCAACCAACCAACCACAGGTTGAGGGTCACGATGGCATGACCAAGCTCCGCGCAAAGCTCAAGGTATTGCTGGCAGCAGCAAACATGTCCCATGACGCCCGGCGCCTGCTTGCTTGTGCACTGGTGTGCTCGTGTTAACGTGTGTTCTGCGCGAATCCGAAACCACTCATCCGCTCACTCGACCACCGCCCTCAACCATCCATCCATTGCCACTCATTCATCAACCCCATCATCATCACCACCATCTCCCCCCCCCCCTTCCCGCAACACCCCGTGCCCTGACCCCCGGGTGTAGGCTGGTGGCCCGCGCGTGCTGTACCACGGCTCCCTCGCTGCGCTCTCTGCCACGTTTGTGGGCCACTTTCCCTGGTTTGCCACGTTCAACTACCTCAACGCCACCATCCCAGAGGCAGAGGACAAGTGGGCGGTGCGTCTGTTTCTGTCTGTATCTGTTTGTTTGTGTGTGTTTGTTTGTATGTTTGTTTGTGTGTGTTTGTTTGTTTGTGTGTTTGTTTGTGTGTTTGTTTGTATGTTTGTTTGTGTGTTTGTTTGTGTGTTTGTTTGTTTGTTTGTTTGTGTGTTTGTTTGTTTGTATGTGTGTGTACATCACCTCATCATTGCCGCCCATTCACACCAATACCAACACCACACCCCATCATCATCATGACCCACCACCCACAACGACCACCGTGAGCAGAAGCTTGCCCGCCGCGCCGCCATTGGGTTCTGCTCGTCTGTCATCTCCGACACCACCAGCAACTCCATCCGTGTGACCAAGGTCACCAAGCAGGCGCACACGAAGCCCATCACGTATGTACAGGCGGTGCGCGAGGTCATCAGCAAGGACGGCGTCTCTGGACTCTTCTTCCGCGGTCTCGGCACCCGTCTCATTGCCAACGGCATGCAGGGCATGATGTTCACAGGCAAGTGTGCGAGTGTGTATGTGTGCGTGTGTGCGAGTGTGTATGTGTGTGTGTGTGTGTGTTTGTTTTGCTTGCTGGTGTTGTACACGCGTTTGTCTGTTCCGTCTCAGATGCGCCCAATCTCCTCTGTTCCCATCTCAAGCATCGTTTTCGACAGCCTTTCTCACTTGCACGATTCTGCGTGTGTGTGTGCGTGTGTGTGCGTGTGCATGTGTGTGTGTGTGTGTTTGTGTGTGCGTGTGTGTGTGTGTGTGTTTGTGTGTGCGTGTGTTTGTGTGTGCGTGTGTGTGTGTGTGCTTTCACAGTTGTGTGGAAGGGCCTTGAGGAGCGCTTTACCAAGTAACCGCGACATGACAGCCGCCAACCAACCACCCGCCCGTCCATCCATCCATCCATCCGTCCATCCATCCATCCATCCATCCATCCTCCAACAAGCCTTCTATTCATCAACAAGCCTTCTATCCATCAACGCTCCATCCATCCATCACCACTCTTTCTTCCCTCATTCACAGCTGCCCCGCAGTCCTTCCCTCCCCCACCCCTCTCTCGGACTCGGCTCGTCTCATGTTCTCCCCCAAGTATTCCCATTCACATTCACACTCCCATTACCATTTTCATTTCAAGTTTCCAGCTCCGTTTTCACCCCCACCCTTCCACCACCAGACACATACCAGCTTACCAATCCTCTCCTCGTTAACCCCTTTGCTTGTCCCTTTCTCGTGTTCTGTTGATGTCTTCCATTCGTCTTCAGCGGTCTCCGCCTAGCATGCCCGCAAACACGCAACCACACGCAAGCACGCACGCACACGCGTACGCACGTGCGCGTGTTGCGCTGCGCCACTCCATGCACCGCCACCACCGCCCCCCTCTGTGCCACCCCCCTCCCGCCACACGATTGTTACCACCAGTCTGTTGTATCTACGATGGCGCGTGTGGCAGGGAGGGGCGAGAGCACAACTCCCCGTAATTTGCAGACACTTGCTTCCTCGTTAGATTCAGACAAGACTCGTTTTGATTGATACAATCGCATCAGACCCCCAATGAGGGGAATGTTGTGGTGGCGGTGGCTGACACATGGTGGTGCTGCGTGGCCTTGGTTCTGGGCTTTGTTTTGTCTTCCTTTGTGTTCTTTGTTTCCCCGAGTTGTTGTTAGTTTTGTGTCTGTCACTCCCTCCCTCCCCCCTCCCCTTTTGTTTCACAGGACCCGTACAAGCGCTGTTGCTGCCTTGAAAATGGCACAGCGTGGTGGCGTGATTGTCTGTCAGTCGATTCCTTGTTTCTCATACGCATACGCTCACTAGTTGCACGCTCTCCTCTATCGCTTCTGCCCATGGCATGTGTCTTGGCAGTTGTTTCTGTCAGCTGTGTTGTTCGCCCCCAGCTTGACTGTTGCGTTTCCCTTTCGTTGCCCCTGTTCACCCCTGACTGTGCTCGTGGTGTCCTGCTGTTCTTTGACAAACACACGCACACACGCACGCACGCATGCACCTGGTGTCAATCAACTCTGTTGTTTCTTCTCCCCCCTTTTTCGGCTTGGCTCGTTCATGGCAGTGAATAAAGACCTGGGTCTTGCTTGGTGCATGCATGATGCAACGTGAGGGCCGTTGATCCAACCACACACACACACACCCACACACACACACCCACACACACACACACACACACACACTGATGGGCTAATTGTGGGTTTACTTGAAGTTGGGCGTGAAGGGGGAAGAACATACGACCACCATCATCAAACAACAAACAACAAACAACAACGTACATTGTCACAACACCCAAGCAACACTCGATACCGGGCATAGCACATTCACGGTACGCAACCCGCACTGCAGACAGTGAGCAGCACAGGTGCAAACTATCAACAAATCAACAACCAGAGGAAAGGAATGCAACTAATCGTGTGTCATGTCATCATCAGCAGCAAGCAAGTCAACTGTCACCACCACCACAACCGCTAGACACAATACACCACCACCAACACTACCAGGCAGTCCAACCACATGCACTCGTCACACCACCAAGTTCCGTGGGCCAACGCGAAAGCTTTGACAGCAGCAGGCAGCAGCAGCAGCCGCAGGATGTGGAGTGCAGAGGGCATTGGAGCGAGATGGTGGGTGATGGCGACACAACACAGCACACGTCACATATGCAGGGCATGCGTGGCTGCATGTGTGCAAGTGTGTGTGCATGTGTGCATGCTTGCGCGGGTGGATAAAGGGGGCAGAGCGAACCAAGGAAACCAACAACGGGGGATTATCAAATCGACCCATGGACACACTCTCAGATAGGGCAAAGGGGGATGACGTACTGCGGCCAAAGAGGGAAATCACCGAAACAGCGGCTCAGCGAAACGCATGAACGAATGAATGAAGCGTGAAAGAGAGACGGAAGAGAGAATGCTACCACAGCCACAGCGGCGAAGGGAAGCGGCTATATGTCGATATGGATATGGTGGCGACAACACAGCACATCAGCACCCAACCAGAGTTGGATTGGAACCAAAGGGGAAACTGGCCAACAAGAGACAAAACCAGCCACGCTTTGTGTGCAGTGTGCCACGAGAGCAAGGGAGACGCGCGACCCGGTGAAAACGGGGACGACATTATGTAGGAAAAAAGGAACTAATCACCAAGCGATGATGGTGCACGCATCTGATGCTGGCGTGTGGATGGTTGGCAGGTACAAATGAAGTGGCAGTTGCCAACGCCACGCCGACGCAACACGTGGGTGCACTTGGCAGCTTGAATGGGTGCTGAATCCTGAACAGGGAGGGATGAACACGGAACCGTGCAGAGCACCAAGGCTGAGGTGACGGACACACGGTGGCGTGTGGTTGGAGGGAGGCAACGAACTGGGCCATACTGAACCAAACCACCAAGCCACCAAACGACTTCAACAAGGGCAGTTGTCAATAGAAGGCAACGTGAAGGAGAGTGAGGTAAGGGTGGAGGTTGAGGTAGACTTAGGGGTCGAGGTAAAGAGATGCTATCAACGACTACAGGCGAATTGTTGAGGCGAAAACACGTCTTGAAAGCACGAGAGATCAACAACGACAACGACCAATAAAGGAAAGAAAAACAACACGCAACAGCGACATCAACAATGCGACAGCACGCCAAAACCAAGGAAACACACACACACACACACACACACACACACACACACACACACACCAAACGGAACCTGGTGCGTGGGAACTGAAGCGAACTGAGGGTTGGGGGCTAACGACCAAGCTGGTAGAGGGAGGAAAGAAGTAGTAGCAGCAGCAACAGCGAAAGGGATGATGCTAGATGGAGTATAGGAAGCGCTAATGCCAAAATGAAACGAACGGCTGACCAATACAAAACACACAAACAAGTAAGAGAGGCGAAGAGGAGAGGGTAGCTAGACCAAGGCAAACTCAAAGCCAACATGGAAAAAAAAAGAAGAAGAAAGAAACCACAAAAACAACATCGCTTGAGAGAGAGAGAAAGCGAAAAACACATCTATGCTGAAGGGAAAGCGTGGCAGGAACATGAAACAACGCGACTGCCCACGTGGCTGTTGGCAGGTGCACACTGACGGGCAGGTGGAGGTGTCACGTCACACCCATGCGCACAACAGAGCAACCTGCACATGCACACGTACAGCAGCCATCGTGGTGGAAGGGGGTAAAGGTTGCTCACAAAGAGCTCTTGAACGACAACTACAACTGAAACTGGGAAGACGAAGAGGAAAGAGAGAAAGGAGTTGGGGGGGGGAGGATAGGGAGAGAGAGAGAGAGAGACACGCACGCACGCACGCGCAAAGAGGTCGACGTGCAATTGGAGCCATTGCATCACTCATTATCGCCAATGCTGCCGTGGTGACTGCTGCCGGCATTGTCACGGTCATCATCACTCATGGTGGTCATGGATGCAATGACAGAGGTGGCGGCGCCCACGGCCACGTGCGTTTCGCCATCGCCTTCACCATCGTCGTCCGTCACGCCCCATGCCGCTCTGCTTGCAAGCAACGTCTGCTCCATCATGGCGTCATCGGAGGTGGTGGTGGTGGTGGTGGCGGGCGACATGTCATAGAAAGGGCTGCCAAACGCATCATAAGGCGAGGATGATGACAACAGCGAGTGCATGCTTCCGGCCTGCTGCTGCTGCTGCTGCTGTTGCTGCCGGAATGCAGCTTCCTGTGCCATCATGGCTGCACGTTGCTGCTGTTGCTGGTGGTGGTGTGGGCTGTAGGGGTGCGGCGGGGTGTGCGAGGGGATGGGAGACTGTGACGTCTGCCGCTGCTGCTGCTGCTGCTGCTGCTGCTGCTGCTGTTGCTGTGGGTAGTGTGGTTGGAACTGCGGAGAGCCAAACCCACCGCCCATCTGCTGGGGCGACCCCGGAGCCACGCGCCGCTGCTGTGCACTGGCAGCGCCCGGCTGCTGGTAGTACAGCATCTCGTTGAGCGTCATCATGCGCTGCTGCTGCTGCTGTTGGCTGCGCTGGCGCATGTCATCACCGCCACTGCTGCTGCTGCCGTTGTTGGTGCTGCTGCTGTTACCGAGCGAAGGCAGATCGCGCAGCTGCTGCAGCGGTTCAAGGGCGCCATATCCTCCGCTGCCACCACCGTGGAGCTGCTGGGCCACGCCGCGTGCGTCCATGGCACCGCCAAACGGCTGCTGCTGGTGATGGTGTGACACGGTCAGGCGAGCCATGCTGTCTGCAATGTCGTGTCCGGCAGTGGACCACTGCTGCTCCTGCGCCAGTGGCGACGGCCCGCCGTACGCCGCCGTGTACGCATCCGGGTCAATCATGCCTGCAGGCAATGGCGAGTTGCAAGGGGCGGAGTGGAGTGGTGGCGTTGTTGTGGTTCATGGCGACGGTTGGTGGTGGTGCGGTGTGAGATGGAGAGGTGTGTGAAAAGAGGGGCTTCAAATAGAAACTTGGCGCAGACGACAACCACAATGACACTAAGAAGCGAATTAAAACAACAACAACAACAAAAAAAAAAGAAAAGAAAAAAAGTCACGAACAAACACTGAAGAAACACAGCAACACCCCACCCATGCCCAAGCAAGCAAGGCGCGTGTTGCATCCTACCGTGCTGTGCCTGGAGAGAGCGGGAACGTGCCCTGCCAACCGCCGTCTCGTGCGCCGCCAGCATGTGCTGCTGCTGCTGCTGCTGCTGCTGCTGGGTGTTGATGGGAGTAGCACCGGGAGCTGCTGATGGTGGCACGTGTCCAGCATCGGACCACGCGCGAGCACTGAACGACCGCTGGCGACCTGCGGCGTCCTGCAGTGGCGGTGGCGGCACTCCCCCGTACCGCTGCGTCGAGGCAGCCCGGCCGTGGCCTGGTGGGTGGTGGTGGTAGGAGGGGGTGAAACAGGGGGTGCGGGAAGGAAGACGGTCAAGAAACAGCAGATGTGTGAGTACATGAGCGTGATGTTCGTGTGCTGTTAAGTGTTCACGCTACAAACGCGCACGGGCACACACGCACACACGTACGCACGCATGCATGCACGCACGCACGCATGCATATGCGTGGCCGTTCTTAACGTACTTGGCTGTCTGTAGTTCCTGCTTGGGGAGCGGTTGCCATCGGTTGCCTTGGGCTCGGCACGCTTCACCTCCACCATCTTGCCGAGCAGGTCGTGGTAGTGCAGTGAGACAACGTGCTCCGCCACCTGCTCCGACACAAACGTGACAAAGCCAAAGCCGCGCGGGAGGCGAGTCTGCTTGTCGTGGATGACAACTGCCTCCTCAATCTCGCCAAAGTTTGAGAAGAAGCCAATCAGGGCCTCGTCTGTTGCGTTGGATGGCAGTCCACCGACAAACACCTTTCGGGCAGACTGCGAAACAGGAGGGGGTGGGGGTGGTGATGTGGTTTGTGGTTAATAGTTGGTGACATGTGGGTGGCGTGGTGTGTGTGTGTTGGTGTGTGTGTGTGCGTGCGTGTTGGTGTGTGTGTATGGTGATTGGGGTGCGGGAGGCGTTGTTTGTGAAAGTGAGGCAGTTGGTGAGCCCCGAGTTAGTAACACACGAGAGGACCAAACAAAACCGCGTTGATGCGCGCGTGTCAACGTAGAAATAAAACGCACAGCAGCGACGTCGGAACATTGTTGTTGTTGTTGTTGTTGTTGTTGTTGTTGTTGTTGTTGTTGTTGCGTGTGTGTCAGGGCCCAGGGGGATGGCAGCAAGGACAGGGGGGCGCGTTGCACATGCAAAAAAAAGGGGAGGAGACAAACAAAGGATATCGACATGTGTGTGTGTGTGTGATGGTTGATAGAAACAATATGGCAAAAATCGCATGGGTGTGAGCGCTGACGCGTTCGACAATCGAACGGAATGGAGAATTCACACACGTGCGCCATGGAAGCAATATCGACAATGTGATGATGTTCGCGCACGACCGCTCGACTTGCGATCATACCCACGCACGTGTGCGTTCATGTGTGTGTGTGTGAGTGTATGTGTGTGTGTGTGTGTGTGTGTGTGTGTGTGTGTATGTGTGTGTGTGTGTGTGTGCGTGCGTGTGTGTGTGTGTGTGTGTGTGTGTGTGTGTGTGTGCGTGTGTGTCCTATGCATCCCGATTTCTATAAGTAGTAATCCGCCCGCAAGCGTACGGAGCCGTAGCTTCGATCGAGACGATTTGTACCCTGGGCGAGCTAAATCGTTGACTTAGGTGTCTGTCACTCTCATCAGGGCCCCGACGGTCAGGAAGCCTCGGGGGTTACCGGGTAGAGATTCCGCGAGTTTTGTGTGTGTGTGTGTGTGTGTCGTGTCGTGTGTGTGTGTGTGTGTGTGTGTGTGTGTGTGTGTGCGTGTGTGTGTGTGTGTGTAGTGCAGCGGCCCACCCTGCCTCGAGGTGCGGCTGGCGCCGACGACGACCGGGAGTGTTGCTCCATCTGCTCGCGCGGCACGGCCATCTTCGGGTCGACTTCACGCCCGTCGATAATGTGCGGCCGCTCCCGCAGCACCTTGGCGCAGCACCGCCCGTCACGGAACGTCACAAACCCAAAGCCCCTGCACACACGTGGGGCCGATGGTGATGGGGGTGGCGGTTGTGCGTGAGTGTATGAGTGAGTGAGTGTATGAATGAGTGAGTGTATGAGTGAGTGAGTGTCTGAGTGAGTGAGTGAGTGAGTGAGTGTGAGTGTGTGTGTGTGTGTGTGTGAGTGTGAGAGTGCGAGGGTGTGTCTAGTAGATATCAGCAGTGCATGAAGTTGTCACCATGTACCTTGTGCGGCCTGTGGTTGCATCTGTCATGACCACGCAGTCGACGACTTCGCCGAAGCGCGAAAAGTACCCCTTCAGCCGGTCTGTGTGTGTGTGTGTGTGTGTGTGTGTGTGTGTGTGTGTTGAAGATGAGGAGGTGTGAAGATGAGGAGGTGTGAAGATGAGGATGTGTGAAGATGAGGAGGTGTGAAGATGGCAACAAGGCGGACGAAGGCAAGCACACGAATGAATAGCACAGCCAATGCAAACAATATCAAACAATACCAACAAACGAACAAAGACAAAGTCTTACCTCTATTGGTTTCGGGGCTGAGGCCGCCAACAAACATTTTGCTGTCAGTCACAACCAAACGCGCAGGAGTAAACATGAAATGAAAATAAGCATGTGCATGAACGCGCGTGAGTAAAGAGCAGACATCAGTAAGCCCACACAAAACAAACCTTCACACCACACACACACATACCACGCACGCATGCATGCACACACACACACACCACACACACGCACGCATGCACCGCGTACCCTGGGATGATTTGCTGTTGTGTGGAGAGGAGGTTGGTGGCCGACGAGTGACCGTGTTGCTGCTGCTGGTGTTGCTGTTGTTCGGATGGCGCGTACAGCGACTGGGAGCGTGTGGTGCGCACATCACCACCACCACCACCACCACCACCGCCCATTGGTCCCATGCCCATACCGTGCTGCTGCTGGTATGGCATGCCGTGCTGCTGGTATTGGAGGTGCGCAGGATCCATGCCATCGGCCTGCCCGCGCATGTGGTGGTGCGGCGACTGTGACCCGTTTGCACGAGGCGACTGCATCGGGAACGTTGGCATGTGCTGTTGCTGCTGCTGCTGCTGCTGGTAGCCGGATGGCGGGAGGGAGTTGGCGCGCACCTCACGCGTGCCGCCACCACCCATCATCATGGATGACGATGGCGACTGCGAGCGGTGGTCGCTGCCCGGGTGATATGAGGGCGGTGTCATGCCGCTGGTGCCGTTCATGCCGCCACCATAGTACCCTTGCTGCTGGGACTGCTGGGACTGTTGGGACTGCATGGGGTGCGGGTGCTTGAGGAGGTGCATGTTGTTGCTGCTGCCGCCGGCAGTGTTCGTGTTTCCGAAGTCGTAGTCGCCTTGGTGCGATGGGAACGGGGCCATGTATGGCGAGGCCCCGTTGGCCAAACCGCCCATGTATCCGCCGTTGCTGCCGTTGGTGCTGCCGTTGGTGCTGCCGTGCTGTCCCATGTTGGCCGCGCCGCCTGCTGTGGACGACGACAGCGACTGCGCGTGCGACTGCGAGTGCGAGCGGGAGAGGGATGATGACGACAGGGAGGATGTGGAGCGGAGCGGAGACGCCGGCATGCCACCATCACCACTGGTGCCGCTGCCGCTGTTGACTGTGGCGGCTGCAGTTGTCGCAGTTGTCGTCGTCGCCGCCGTGGTTGTGGTGGTTGCGCCCGATCCGTCATCGGAGCTGACGCCGCGAAGGGCCTCTGCATATCGGCGGCGGTTCTGCTGCATGGATGGCTGCGATGTGACCGGTGGCGGTGGCGGCGGCAGCGTGTTCTCCGAGTTGTTGCGGGAACGATTCACAGCCTGCGAGTACTGCTGTTGTTGGTGGTGTTGCTGTTGGTGGTGCTGCTGTTGGTGCTGGTGTTGGTGGTGCTGCTGGTGGTGGTGGTGCTGGTGTTGTTGCTGGTGGTGTTGGTGTTGGTGCTGGGGCGGCTGTTGCTGCTGGTGCGGGTTACCGGAGATGGAGTCGAGGTCGTCCAGCGCCGCGAGCACATTCATCGTGTCCATCCTGGATGGTCGTGTCAAAAGCGAAGTCAAGGGAATGAAAGGGGGAGTGTGTGTGGACGAAGGGGGAGTTCTTGGTTGGTGTTGAGCTGCTGAAGTGGTCGGAAAACAAACACGAGTGTAAAGAAGAAGGGAGGAGGTAGCGTGCGATCGATCGGCCCCTGTGTTGAGATTGGTCTTGGTAGGTTGGGTGGTGTTGGTTGGAAGTATGGAGGGCTCGGGTGCGTGCGCGTGAGCTAGTGGCAACCCATGTGCTCCTCGCTCTACCAAAGAAGAAGAACGAGGAGGAAGACAATGACGACGAGAAGAGCGGGCGAGGGAGACGGAGGCGAGGAAAGGAAGGTGGGAAGGCGGGGAGGAAAAAAAACGTGGACTACAGCTCGCTCTCGGCTGTTGGTTGATTGATTGGAAGGCCACTTGTTTGCAGGGATCTGTAAGTGTGTGTGTGTGTGTGTGTGTGTGTGTGTGTGTGTGTGTGTGTGTGTGTGTGTGTGTGTGTGTGTGTGTGTTTTGGTGGTTCGTGTTTGGTGAGCAAAGACGATGATGTGAACTGGAAACACGGCAGGATACTTGACACGCAAAGGGGAAAAGGGTGTTGGAATGGATGCAGGGTCGGTGGGGGCGGCAAGGTAACTGGGGTGTGGACAAGCACAGAGATCGAAGAAGCACCGCAGAAATCCAAGGACAGAACAAGGCAGTGCCGCTCACAGTCACGCATGACACACGCACGACACGCACGCACCTGCTGAAATAACCAAAGGACAGACGAAGGCAGTGTGGTGCTGTTGAGAATGAAGCAACAGCGGCAAATGGAATGGATCGGTGAGTAGAAGGGCGGTGGGAAGATTGCAGGGAGAAGGCGAACGGGAACCGGGCACGGGAGAAACAAAACAAACCAAAACAAAACAACACAAACAAGCTCTCAAGAAGCAAGTTCGGCAGTAAGAAGCAGACAGGCAGACAAGGCCAGGCAAGGCAAAGCACAAAGACAAAGGACAAAAATCAAAACAAACGACAGCCAGGTATGTGTGTGTGAAAGGGAGTGCGTGTGTGGGTGTGGATGTGAACACGGAGAGACAGGTGCTTCAGTGCCGAGTGTTGAGGCCACTCTCCCCTCGCCACCTGCCAACGCACACGCACGTACACATACACACACCTGCACACACACGAACACCTCTCAAGGCACACACACACACACACACACACTTGACTTACCACGACAACAACGAAACAACAAGCGCAAAGCCAGGCTCGGGTGCGTAATGCCTCCTGTGTCTTGCCGCTCCTCTTTCTCTCTTGCTTTTTGCTTTGCTTCTTGCTTGTTTCTTGTGGCTTCTTCTTTGCCTTGCTTGTTGCCTTGCTGTTTGGATTCTGCTGGCCTTTGTTTTGTTTTTTGTTGTTGTTCCCCAGCGACGATCCGTTGAAGATGCGCACAGGAAATCGGTGGCGTGATGCGAAAGATGTTCGCAAACTATCGGCCGCGCGTTGCTTGCGCGGCGTCGTGTCCGCCTTTTCGACCCCCAACAATAAAAAAAAAAAAACCAGGAAGGCGGATTCGGAAAAGCCTCAAGCTAGGCTGTGTGCTATAAATAGGGAAATGCTTATCTTGTGCAAAACTCGCAAAGATCCTCCGGGAGAAATTCAAAACCGAAAACAGCAACGGACGATTGGTTGGTTGGTTGGTTGGTCGAATATGGAGACGGGGATGAGGGTGTGAGAGGGATGAGGGGGGTGAATGTTGGTGTGTCCGTGGGTGCATGTTGGTGTGGGGGACAGCCTGTCGGGAGCACGTGTGAATGTGTGTGTGTGTGTGTGATTGTACGGGTAAGAACTTGTTTGTTTGCGTTGGTATTTGCACGTCATTGCGCATGCGCTCATGTACATGCACGTTTGGTGTGGTGTGTCGCAGTGCCGTGCAGCGACAGCCATCATGTCGTTTTCGCCCAACATGGATCAAGTGGAGCCCGCGCGCGTCGCGGCATCCCAGGTGGGTGTGTGGGTGGGGGCGAGGGAATGGGTGTGTGTGTGGGTGTGTGTGTGTTATGATCTCGCTGTATGGGTGTGTGTGTGGATGATGAGGTCACCGCGCTTGAGTGTGTGTGGTGTGTTTGTGTTTGTGTACGTTTCGCTCATGCCACATGCTTTCCCAATGCTGCTATGATAATGCTCTGTTAGGTCGAAGACATCAAAACACGGCTCTTTGACAACTGGGACGAGACTGGTGTGTGCAAAGAGAGCAGAGATTTTACAGGTGGATGTGGTTGGAGTTGTGGCTGAGGTGATGTGTTGAATTGTGCGTGTGTCAGTTTGCTGGTGCACGCAGAGGTCCTCCCGTACCGGCATACACATACACACACGCACTCACATACACGTACAAACGCACTCGCACACATACACGTACAAACGCACGCT